AACAAGACAGCAAGCTTTAACTCTTCCACTTAACATCTTCCTTACAGACATTACTGTGCAAATGCTGGGGAGAAAAATTACATGAGTGCTACACAAAACTGGCCTTAAAAATGTAACCTGTCATCAGCCAGGAAAGACTTGTGGCTCTGGGACTGACTCCATTCTACTTCTCTCTGTTTCAACATTCACAGGAAGAGAATAATGCTTATTTCAACAGTTTTCATTATTGAACCTGACAGGCTTTTCTACAGTCCCATGCTCAGGCAGCTATTAACTTAAAAGGCAACTTGGAAAAGTTGTCTTCAACTCCTCCGTGCTGCTGATTTTGTTTCCAGTTCAGCTTTTCTTTATTTGTTTCTAACCTTACTGATACCCAGGTTTCATAAAAGCACAAAATAGGTCTCCCCATGCAGACAGAAGAAAAAGGAAGTGTGAATATGCCGAGTATAGTAATACAACTGGAAGACTTCTGTTTGTCCTTCCAACAGAAGGATTTTTCTTTTACTTCCTAACCAAAAAGTGATGGGAATGCTGGGCCAGCAACTAGGGGTTTCAGCTAACTAGCACACTCAAGGTTAAAGGGAGCAGGATTCACAAGACTGAGATTTAACCCATTTTTCACTCTCTGGAGATAGTTCTCAAAGCCTAAGCCTAGATGCCTAGGGAAACTCAGGGAGACTAAGATGGCTTTTGTATTGTCAGTGGAGACAATACAATACTGCCTAGAACCTCTCCAGAGTTGTTTTTATGCCTCTTTCCATTAATTACTAGTGTAAGAGGACACAGTAATTTAAAAATATTCTATTACTAGCAATTACTAAGCTAGCAATTACTACACTTAAATATAAACTCACGTGCATGGAGGGAGTTTCTCATCAGAAAATTGAAGACAGTATTTCTTTCATTCTCCTTCCTTCCTCCAAATGCCCTTTTATTTCATTGCCTAGGCTGCAGACTCTTTGAAGAGACTGACTTGCAACATGTGCATCTCTCTTTCTAACAAGATTCTTAGCAATGATGACATGCAGTTCTTTATATCCTCAGTACTGATTCACCTAAATGTGCTTGCTGGCCCGCACAATGCAATAGAAGTGATAGTTCTTTCCATAACACCACAGATGTATACGGGACTTGCTCTGGGTTAACATCATGTATCTTTGATTCTGGTGACAATTGTCTGACTGGCATCTAAACAGCTTGGCAGCCAAGCAGAGCTTGGTCGCTCCAGAGGAGGGGTGAGGATCATCTGCTTGCACTGCAGTTGGATTTCAGTTCAAACAGATAAACTTGGTTTCTAACTGTTAATCCCTTGTTCCTCATAATTGTGTTTACCTTTGCTGGAAATAAAACAAATAGGAAGACAACAATCAGATCCAGTTCCATAATGCCAGCATCAGAGCAATCCTGGACACATTGCTAATTTATCAACAGCTTCAGGAAATACCCTAGTTAATTCTGTAGGAACTCCCATTGTGAAAATCTTTTTGGATGCCCCGGAAAGCAGCTCCTTGGCTGGCAAGTCAAACAGCGCTTCCCTTGCCCTGCAAATTAGCTGGATACCCAAAGGAAATTACTAATCTTTCAGCTCAAAACTAACACGCACACAAGTATAATGAGCACTGTTTTCCTTTGTGGAAGAAGAGACAATCAACGACTTGAAGAGCCATTGTTTGGGTGAAGTTCTTCTGTGTCATCGCCTTTACCGTTCCTATCACAACACTTTTACAAACAAGCTATTTCATTTATTATGCTTTTAACCTCGCTTGAAACTTCTGCAAGAAAGCAAATACAAAAATACATTAAAAACCCCGAGTATTTATTTGTCTTTTCTGCCTTCACAATAATAATTTAGCACTGCAGAATTTGAGTGTCTACTCTGTAACATCAAATGCCCTTTATATATTAGCGGTTTGCTGGGGGAAGTGCTGCAGAAACTCCCAAGACCCCTTGAAGAGCATGAACATCTCCAAGGCAGAACTCCACATGTCAAAGCATCTCTGTGACCTGAATTTCTCTGGAAGAAAATCTTAAAGCAGTTTCTGCAATAAAGCCAAAAGCGTAGAGCAACAGGAACAGAGGAAGCATGAGGGCTGTCATTTCCTGTAAGAGCAGCAAGATAATAACTCCTATTAGCACCTCCCAGAGATACAGACCGTTCCAGTGGGCCATATGTGACATTACTTTTTGTGCCTGAAAGACTAGATCAGTCAACACAATATGAAGGAATTAGCTCCTGGCACTGTCTTGTTTGGCGTGTGCATATGAGAGAGACAAACTCCAGTGCTTTTACTATGCATTTTCATCTCCGTAAGTTTCACTGCTGTACTGTACATCAGAGAAGTGGCAAAAGAATTATTAGATTTAAGAAGCCATAACCATGATGTAATCAAATCCCAAATGCTGGATCAACAGTTTCAGTTACAGATAATGACCATTCCTAATCCTTTGTTTTAATGACAGCTATTCTGAAAGGTCTGGCAATGCTGACACCTCGAATGGCTGGATTATAGGTATAAAAGTGTAATTAATGACAAATACACCCACACTGTCTGGAAGGCTACTATCACCTTTATTGCAGTCTAGATTCTGGGAAGTTCAAAATAAGCAAAAGCTTGAATCATTTAATGACTATGCTTACAAAAAGCTCTTGTAAAACAGCTGTTCTAAACCATTTTCCAAAGTTCATTCCAACCTGCTGCTTTCAGGGTATTTGCTTGTTTGTGTGTTTACATATATTTGGTCTATAAAGAGATTAAAAGCTCCGTGATTTTAGTTCCCTTTTCAGTCAAAAACTCAGTGGGAGAGAGGCAGGAGGAAAGAGAGTAGGATGCCTTTCCTGTTACAACAGAGAGACTTGGGAGACATGGGTTCAGTGCCTGCCTCTGACACGAATTTCCTGTATGACCTCAGGCAAACCATTTGGTGTTTCTGTTATTTATCTGTAAAGCAGGGATAACAACTATCCCAGACAGGAGTTGCTTGAATAACATTTATTAATGTCAGGGGTGCTCAGAAAGTCACATACTAGATTTCTACTGACCACATAGCCAAATTTAGGGGTTGAAATGACCCAGGTTATGCCAGTGTATCATCAGACATCTCATAAAACCATACTTGCTTACTACCACTCTTAAGCCTGTAATGCAAATAGGTCTCACAACAGCAGCTTGACATTTCCACAAAGACAAACTACGAAGTAGAAGACAGACATCAAATAATGTGGGGGAAAATGCAACCTGTTGTTGGGGAAAAGGGATACAAACCTTGCAAGTATTTATTAGCTCAGTGCCCAGCACCACACCACACAGTTGGACCTCCTTCAAATAAGCCATCAGAGGTACAACAGCAACAAAAAAGAAGTTAACTGCAAGATTTAAGGTTTTTGCCTTGTTTTTCTGACAGCTACTCAATACCATACAGTCCATCACATCCTTACCATTGTAACTTAGGGTTCTGTGTAGAAATTATTACAAACTATGTCTGGAGATTTTGTCCTTGCCTACTTGGTGGGTAGTGTACACCTCAGCTAATTCAAGAGTGCAAAACTGGTGTCTTGTCGAACACAATTTGCACAGACTTCTGGAATAGTCAACACAGAGAAATAACAAATGCCCAGAAGGAATTTATCACTCCCTAAGGTAGACGGCCTGAGTTTTGAGACAAAATCTGTTAAGGAGATTCCTGCCTCTATCCTGCTGCTCTGAACACAGACAGCACACAGAGACCACAAAGGGACAAGGAAACAGGTCACAATCCTTTGACAGGCAATGTGCCAAAGGGAAGGTAATATAAAACTGGACTAAATAAAACATTAAAATGCAATGTCATGGGGAATGAGACATAGGATGAAGAATTAATTCAGTCTAGTTCGACAGTTACTCAGTCTATATCATACTTGTGCCTCATATAATATCCCAAACCTGTTTCTCAGTGATTCTATCTTTTATGCCTATCTGTAAGCCATATGTGTGTTTATCTCGTACTTTTCAACAGCACAAATCTTGGAAACCTGCTTAGAAAGGTCTTATTGGATCTATGTTTACACAGATTCAGTGACACAGCTACTTGCATATAAAGGATGATAATATTTTTGAGCCAAAAGGCTAGAAAAGTAGGTAATAAAGAAATAAAGTATAAATATATATATATAAGGTATAAATATTTAAATAAATAAATTATACTTTCTTCTTCAATAAAGAAAGTATATCACTTCTCTTCAAGTAGCCCAAAGAGCTGGTTCCATCTTACAAAGACAGATTACTCTGAATTTCAGCAACAGATTTACCCCAGTAGTGAGGTTTCCCTCTCTTGGCCACCACAGAATAAATGATGGGATTTTAGCGGTTTAACAAAAGCTTTGAAAGTAATAAATAAATATTAGAAATGAAACCTAAGAATGTGTCTCCTTTACCACAATTTGTTATTCCTTTGCAATTGACATGAAACCACCTTTTGAAATACATTGTGTTGAAAGAATAACTTTCTCCGTTACTTACATTTGTTAAAAGAACACTCAAAAGGAACAGATTATAACATTGACTATAGAAAAAAAATAGATATTGATACTGTATTCAGGCCTAGCTAGTGCTTTTGCTGATAACCACAGAATAAAATGGGGAATGCAAGTCATCTTAGTAATATATCCTGCTGATACTACATACACCATTTAATCAGAGAGGGCTGATTAAAACACAGTCCTCTTTGGAGGTGTGACTCAGTGAAGCATTCTCCACATTTACTTCAGGATTAGCCTGATCTAGATTTACACTGCACTGTAGGAAACCAGGAACACACAACTATCTGCTTGCCCTAGGTGAGGGACAGCAGTCAATAGCCAGGTTGGGCTCAGCTATTTACGATGACCTGGCCAGAGATACGAAGAACCTGTTCTTACCTAAAAAAGCAACTGATGTATCTAGTTCTGCTGGATTTCTTTTGTTTCAGACATCAGACGGCTCTCAGTGCCTCTCTGGACTCAGAACACACCGTAATGTACTCACCATCATCTGTTGAACATGAAATATTTCGGCTCCAGTGGCAGAGAGGCGGTTTGGAAATGAAATGTCAAGAAAAGCTCCAGGGAGAGTGCTTGGCCCAGCATTGTAAACCTGTAAGATAAAATAAAGTCTAAAAATTACACATATGACTGGATATAAATGGGAAACTCCTGTAGAACCAGAGCTGAGAGTATAACGTTGAAAAAAATCAAATACTATGCAATCTGTTCAATGTCTTCTTAGTAAGATATTTAGAATCCCTTCCAACTCAAACCATTCTGTGAGTCTGTGTAACACTTCTTTTGTAATTATTAGGATGAAGGCAAAGGTTTAGCTTATCTAAGAGTCTTTAAGCACAACTCATACATCAGTGAGAAGCAGTTTTGCAGGATAATTACCAGTCAACAATGCAAATAGAATGACACTTCTACCTGATATAAAAAGACACTGCTAGGACTCTGAGTGCTTTGCAATGCCATCAGTAAGACTGTGAGAAATGCTGCTGTCTCAGTTAACATTCTCATTTTCATCTAGTAACCACTGCATTAGATTCAGCATATGTTTTCCTTATGAAGCAGAAGCCAAAGTAATGATGATTGTGACTACCGGACTGTGGCTTTGCCAAGTTGCCAGGAAATGCATGTGAACAACTTCCATTCAAGCTCTGGGGTTTCCAGTTAAATGAAACTCTTAGTGGAAAACATTCACTTTCATTCAAAGTCCCACAAATTTTCAACAAAACCCCAATGAATTTCTAGTCGACTGCTGAATCGCGTCAAATGAAAATTCCAGAATCTATGGGGTTTTGCTGAAAAGAAATAATACCTGGAAAACTTTCAATGAAATTAAGTTTTCCTGTCTAGCTATATTTTTTTTTAATTAGGAAAATAGTTCCTGATTGCTTTTAACAATACATATATAACTGCATATAGTTAAAAAATATAGGCCCATTAGAATATTTATCAACACTGAGACAGTACTGTCAGAAGATGTAGCAATCGGTTGTTAATTGTGTAAAGTCCATATATTAAACACAACAGGTTTTCATTCTTCAAACCTTGTTTATATTTGAAGAAATGCCTGACTGATAAAGAGAATCAGCTCACAATGCCAAATCCTTGGAAAAACCCTGAGGCTCCAAGCAGGGGGAGAAATCCCACTACAATGGAGCATGATAAATGCTGCATGAAATACAAACATAATGCCTCATGTTAGACATTTTAAAAAACATGATTATCTCGCTGAGATCAGATATCAGAGCTAATGCAGAAAAGGCATAGATCTGTTTTAACATTGAACATGGTATAGATTTTCCCATTTAAAACCCACCATAGAGCTCCATATTTTTGTAAATCATCTCTTTTTCTTGGTTAAGAAACTATTACTTTTCTCCATCTGGAGAAGTTTAATAAATGGCAGGCAAATCATTAGAAACAATTAAGCAAGCAGTGATACAAACCATGCTTTGCCCATTATGAAACTCTACCCTTTCTCTTTGACACACACAGTTATGAGGTTTACCGCATTACTGGAGAGCAGATCTGTGACTTGTTACAGTTCAATTTTCTACTTCTATGTGGGAAAAAAAAAATTACTCAACTTGTAAGTGTGTTAATAATAACACAAGATAAGAGATGAAGCAGGACAAATGCAGGCTCTGCCAATATATAGATGCTGTCTCCTTTACCTGTTATCACATTGTTTTATTGAAAATATCGGTCTAGTTAAAGCACCAGAACATCTGTTCTTTATCTGGTTTTAACCAATAACTGCTTGGGGGGGGGGGGGGGAGAGGGGGAAGGGAAGACCTATAAACCCACAAGAATGAAATCAGAATCACAAGAATTAATAGCCTGGTTCACAAAAGCTTTAATGTCCTCAAATCCTGCTTTCACTCCTTCTCAGTAAATAGCTAAGGGCACTGCATGACAGTGGGGGCTTAATTGCTCTGGACCACAGTCTGTCCACGGAGGCAGACATGTGTTATTCATTATGAGCTGAGTGGCATTCATGCCTAGGAGAACAGAAAGGGGAAAAAAGGTGAAAGACTGTTATTCACAATAAATGATTTCCCCCCACCTCAGCATGATTTATCATTCCCTAGTTCCATCTAGCGGTCAAAAAGTGCTTGTAATAAATACAGTCACAGCAGCAAGACAAGTTCCTTTGGCCTGCATGACAAGGGTTTGTTATAACAAACCATCCATATACTTTGCCATATCAGGAGCTCATCTAACTGCCATGTGAAATGTAATCGATAGATAATACTTGAATAACATTGCAATGTCATGAGACATTTAATGAAACCTCCTCACACACTTGTCTTTTTGGTGTCCCAGTCTCTTCCCCATACTGTACTCTTACCAGCAATGCTATAAACATTTTCATACCAGGGGCATATAGCAAGTCTGAATCCCTGCATGTGCATATGTTTGTTCTCATGGATAAAAGCTGCCCACTCCTCAATGACCAGGCTACTAAAAATAATTACTCCCCCCTTTTAAACCTGCAAGTACATACAAGATGTGTCACTTGAGTAACCAGAGCTCTTTACTGAGAGCATGATGAAAGGTAAAAGAAAAACAAATGGATGTATCTTCATTCCTGGGGAAGTAAGATGCCTTACATACAATTCTTGGTATAATACATTCAGATAAAAAAACACACCATCTCTTCACACTGTACACATGGTAGTTAATCAACAATGCATTGGACAGTATACTGTGATTCAGAAACATGCCCCAAGGACCATACATCACTCAGAATAAAAGAGATACAAAACCAGAAAGAGCTGTCAAGCAGGAAAGTAATCAAAGTAATGATCAGTTTTACCTGCAGTGTGAAGTTGAGAGACTGGAAATGACATTCGTGGTTTTCCAACTGAACAAAGTTGGATGCTTCCACAGAATCACCATAGAAAAATGAAGTAGGGAAGACTTCTCTGAAAGATCAAGACACAAATTTAGTAAGCTGTGTTTGTCGCCAAAATTAAATATGTTTGTGGAAAGCTGAATTGCACCCCTTGCTTTCAGGTCTTGTGAAATTCTATGAGAGCATTTAACATCAGTTTATTATTTGTCATTTAATTTTCTCTTGACAACACTGGACTACACAAGCGGCATCTCAACTGACCCGGGTTAGCATCCCACCACCAAAGCAGACTTCTTTTGATTACTTTATCTCTTTTTCTCCTTTTCTATCATAGAACCTCTTCTCCAGGGCCCCTAAAATGGATGATTTCTGAGAGTCCAATAGCTTGTGCAATACAGGAAATCATTGCACTAACAAGTTAATCTGAAGAAACCGTTACTAATAGGAATACTTTCAGTTGAGTAGCCACTAAAGTAACATTCCAATTTTATCTACTATTTACATAGCATTGCAGGAAAAACCCACTTCATTAATTATCTGAGCTTCACTACCTTTATGATTAACAGATGGTTAAAGGGAAGAGTAGAGGGGGATAGAGGGGGATATTATTTTCTTTCAACTACAGTGGCACAGGCCAAGTCTCAACTACTCTTACCATCTTATCACAAAGTAAAAAGCAGTAGGGTTTTATCAGAAAAGACTTGGAGGCACAAACAGTACCTGGAAACCCTGAAGAAGATGACCAGGAGTGCTTTAAGCATCCTTTGTGCCTCCTTTTAATCTGGGGCTGCTGTACTGATTTGAAAAGGTCTTAGTTTCAGGACAAACCTTGGTGAGGGACTGCCTAAAATTCTGCTTCCTTCCCAGTTTGTCCTTTTGGGTCAGAGTTTTTTGCGACAGGATTTTAAGCCTGTTTAGGTACATTTCCTTTTTTCCTGCCTGCCTCCTATGCCAGAAATTGCTAGGGAAACAACAAGAGACAGATTTATTCCTCCCATTCACAGTGTTGTGCCAGAAGGCTCCTCCCAAACATGGTACAAGCCCTTCCAGGCTATTTATGAACAGGAATGAAGTTTGCTCTTGTAGACTGAAATGCAGGATAGCTAATAAAAATGAACTTTAAAAATGCATTGTCCCCAAAAGAGTATTACTAATATTACCATGCATGGGGATATTGTGCCCTCCAATGAACCCAACTTTTTCCTGGTAGTTCTGTGAACTTGAATTAAATAAGCCTTGTCTATGAGAAAGAATAAAGTAATCTACATAATCAGTTGGGTGGGACTTAGAAATTCAGAGACCTTGTGCTTTACAAATAGTACATTATGAAGAGAGAGAAAAGAGCCACATTTTTATCAGTTTTTTTTTGGCATGCAGTATTCTGTAAGCGAGATCTAAGGACACAGTTGAAAGCATTTGTATCTGTAAAGCTGTACAAAAATCCATCTTTATCAAAACATCAAGAAGCAAGGGACACAGAGTTAAGTTTCTAAATAATCTGCAACTATGAAAGCGCTCAAAAACTTTCAGAACATGCTGCTGAGACTGTACTGGCAATATAGAGGAGATTTTTGTCCTTGCTTGTCATCTTGTGAGGTCTGAGATCACAGTTCAGTTCTCTGAGCAAGCTTAAGCATGTCTGCTACCCATTCTGACTATTGTGTCAGTAATTAAGGGATTTTATTTCTATGTAAGAAGGGAGGAAATCAGCTTCACCCAGCTGATTTTACCCAGCTTTTCAGTCAAAGCACATGTCAGTGCAGGTATCATTCCTTCATATGTAGCATGCTGGTCAAAGGAACCTTTGACTTCTACTGATGCTAAACTGCACTGGTCATTTCGACAATATGTATTCCCTGGGGATTGCCATAAATGGTGGTTAAACAGACACTGACCTCTTGGAGACACTACTGATTATTTTTTGCTTCCTCCGTTTAGGAATGAATGTCAACTTTTGCAATCTATGTGGACTGTAATTCACCACGAGTGACCAGGTCCCCCATTATAACTCAAGCATACTCTATGCTAGAGGACAGTCTGTCTGTGGGGACCAACCACAAATCATTTATTCTACACTTAAGATTGTGGTGGAGAAGTGGAAGGGAAAACCCCTGAGTACAAAGGCAGAAGGAACTCACACATGAGCAACCATGGGGAGAGGACAGTGGCTACGTATTATACAAGTAACTCAGTCAAAGGGTGATTCCTTACTTGCTGTTCAGATGCCTCACACACTTGGGACCAGAGGAAGTGGTAAAATGAACAGAAGCAGAAATGAATTCTGATTGTGAAATTAAACAGAAAGACAAACAGCTGAACTCCACCAAGTTCCTTAAAATCCCAGAACATTTGACCCTAACCTTTGTCCTGGTGATTGATTCTCAACCATATCCTTAAAGACATGACCTAAGGAACAAGATGTGATTTACTTGCTCTCTTTTTATTTTATTTTAAGGTCCATCATACCTACAGAATCACGTGGATTAAAGTCTGATCATTACTACAAACGTCATGGTAACTAATTAGCATCAAATTAATGGAGTTTCTCTAAGGAGTGAGAAAGAGGTACAGTGTTGGAATGAAAGGCATGACAAATAAAATTCCCAGATAATGAATGAGTTTGTCTGTATGACCAGAGTCTGGGAAACAGGGAAAAAGCAACAGTTCCACTACATGTAAACAAAGAGAAGAATTCAGTTTTTCACTGGAAGAGACTCAGATGTTATTGTTAGGATTATCATTATTTTTGTTGTTTTCATCTGGTGACTGGTACTTACCCATTGATAGATGAGTCCACTTCATGCATCAGGGGCACCGACAGGGTTAGGGTATTATCATGCAGAGATTCAGTACGTTCTAGGTTTCCACTGTGAAAGAAAGTAAAAATAAACATGCTATAGATTGACAGCCTTTGCAATATATCACACAGTTTCACAGCTACCATCTCTCTGCCTTCCTACCCTGAGCCTCTATATTTGAGTGATGTCAGCTCCTTAAGAAGCCTCCTGAAGATTAAGAGCTACATTTGTTTCACCCACCTTGTAGAGGGCACACACATAAAGGATGTGCATTGTGGTTGCTCCTGTGTAGCTCATCGTGGTGTGACACGATGTGGCTCACACCAAAAAAGCCTATCTTGGAGCAAGGTGTGCATTCAAATGGCAGTGTAAAACTACAGCAACCATCATGCACAGTGGAGAGAAGCAAGGACATTTAGACTCCAATACAAGGGGTGATTCTGTCCCAGCCTGACTGCACATCAGTTTGGGAGGGATACATACACCCCACAGAGGGTCATGACTTTCCATATAATTTGTTGCCGCTACAAGCAGCTTTTCTGGGTGAGACCCTCATACTAAACTGTACAAAACCTCTCAGCAGTTCCATCCCCTCTTTCTGTGCTTAGCTGTCACTTCCACTTTCCATTTTCAAAGGTAGCTACCTCAACTGGTCAAAAGCAGAAGGAGGAAAGAGAAAAGTGTGCAATCATCTCTGATTTGAGTCAGTTTATTTCAGTGTGAGCGCTTTTGTATGAAGTCTGTGAAAGATGCCTGTGAAATGCATGTCCAATGTGCAAACCTGCAATTATTGGAACTCTGATGGCGAGTCTGCTAGGTGAGTGACAGCTCAGAACAATAATCTTGAGAAATATGTTACATATATTTCCAATTTCTCCAGCAGTGACTCTGGAATAATTTTTGCCTTGCAATTCATTGGATTTACTCGCAAATCAAGCTGGCAAAGCTAAAGATATGATCCTATTTATTTGAGGACAGTATCACTGAGGCAACAGCAGGCAGCAACATCCCAAGTGATACCATGCAGATGATGAGTTGCTCAGATTACAAAAACAGACCCTGCTGGCTACATACATGCATAGATAGAGCTCCACTTTCTGTAACTGACACATTGGCCATGACTCCTAATAAAACTATGGCCCAGATGGAAAAACCCACAAAATCTCAGTCCCAGGAAAAAAACATTTAATAAAAGGTTTTCCTCTGAACAGGCTTGAAGAAGAGTCCAAATTGGAGACATTTCTCATCCAACACAAATACCGAGATACCATGGTGGCAAACAGAATAAGCAAGTAGAATTCTATACAGGGTTCATGGGTACATGTTTCAAATGGGTCAAAGGTACTGTCAGAAAAGGAGAATACAGTGCAGTGAATCTAGCTCTAGAAAAATAGCTCACACCACGAAGCGCAGGAAAGGCCTTGGGGCTTTGTTGCTGGTTTTCTAAACAAAAAGAGCAAATGTAAGGTAATGTTCAATCTCTGTCCAGTTGATCTCTCCTGCTGTTGAACCAGTCTCTTGTTACAGGTACTACTGCCAGAATTGCAGCTTCAAGGAACAGGCTTAAGTGGCCTCTTGAAGGGCAAAGCTCACTTTCCCATGACAGCATGTCACAGGTTTTCTGTGTCCAGCCAGTTCAGCCAGACTAGCTTTGGTCTTGTGTGGAAACAATGTCCCCAGTCATTGCAGTCTGGCCACAACACAGACACTTCCTCTCCATTTCTTTGTCACTGACTTTACCCCAAGGCTCCCTGCAATTCTTGTGGTAGAAAGATTTTATTACACTTATTTCACAGCATGGGAATTGAGCTATTTGCCCAAAGTCACAGAGAAAATTAGGGTAATCAGCACTGGGACATGCACTGTTGTCTTTGGAGGTTCAGCTAAATCCTTCAAAGCACAACTGTCCTCCTGCCCATCCTTCTGAAATGAGAAACATGCTCCTAAACCCCTCTGAGCATTCAGACTATGTGTACAAACTACTATTTATTTCTTTGCTCCATCTAAAGGCACTGACTAACACTTCTCACTGGTGGGGCACAGAAATGTGAGGAGTGAGATTACAGAGGAAATCCCTGTGCTATCCAAGGCAGGGAAATGAGTGGCACAATCTGGAAAATACTGGATGGGCAAACTTAAAGCACTACAGACCCATCTTTGCACCAGCTGGCATTCACTTAACAGATCCTGATGCATCTCCCTGACCTAGAAGCATCACGAGGTCATCTGAACACACTATGAACTCCTCCTCGTGGAGAATAAAACTTCTCTACCATGCAAGACATGGTCTTGCCTCTCTAATACGAGGTCTCATTTTCAGTGTTTCATGCCAGCACCACGTGCCGCAGGATCTTGTTCCCACCTACAGTTGCTACTGCAAGAGGAGGACTGTGCCCTATGACAGCAATCACTTGGCACCTGCTACAGCTTCTCTCTCCTCTCCAACTACTTGGTGAAGCATCATCAAACTGGGGAGGTGGATTCAGGCTGGAGGCCCTGGCTTTGACACAGGAAGGTATGAAGTTGGCATCCTCAAACAGTAAGGGAAGCAGGAACTAATCTCACACCTAGCACATCATGGCCCAGGTTAACACAGCTGTGCTACCATCAGTTACACTGTCTCATATACACCCTGACAATGCTTGTGACTGAATCACCCATAGAGTCTGCTTCTTTGTGACAAATCATCTTAGGAGGCACAGAGCATGTGTCACACCTCATATTCTGCCCGAGATAAAAATCACTATGCATGCACACTTGGCATCACCCTACTTCAATGCCTGCTCCAAGTGCCCTTGGGGAAATACCCTATTCAGCTGTTTCATGCAGTCTGTCATAGATCACTGAAGATCCATAGGGGGAAAAAATAGACATGCAACTTTGCAAACTGTCAGTGAGATTCCTGACCATCTGATGAAAGCATTTATCTTTTTTGGTTTGCATCCAAACACGCTTATTTCATTCAAATGCTGGAACAAATGTGCCTGCCTGGTGCTGATCGTCAACCGCAGCTGAGCTGAGCTTGATACAGGGCCCAAAGGGATGGACACAGAAATACGAAGGCGTTCCACTTGAGAGAACACAAACTGCTCCTTCAGAATTGCAACTGCTTGGAAAAGAAAGCCCAAGTATGATCCTACCTCATTTTTCAGGAAGCTGTGTCACATGGTTCCTCTACATTACCAAAATGCATGCATTTAGCCCCAGAAATTTAACCTCATCTACCACACGTACACATTTACCACTAATATCACAGAACTGTCAAGCATATGCAATGCACACTTCATGTAACAAAGGATATTCAAGTCATCAAGAGGTACAAAGGTTCCTTTACCTTTGTGCAGTGACAAGGAAGGTAAGCGTTTCTTCCTGCCCAGACAAGTGGCTCGTATCAAAGATCACACTGAAGTCATACTGTGCAAAGAAAAAGCAGTATTTAGAGACAGATATAGTTTCAAAATGCATTTATTCTGAAACTTCCCATATATTTTACTGGCCTAGCTGTACAAAAGTAGCAGATTTAGATACACGTAAGAGAGCTTCCTCTACTGTAGCGTAGCTTTTAAATCTTAGCAACTGCATCTCTGATTTTTCCTTTATTGTGAAAGGGCCTTTACTGGAATTGCCCTTCAAAGGAGAAAGAGATCTCTTGAGGAGATTGTCTGCCAGGGAAAGAGTCTTCCAGTATAAGAGGATCTCTACCCAAAACTACCTCAGCATTAACCTTTATATTGTTACTTGCTGGTGAAGAGATCTTTTGAGGGGAATAAAGATCATGCCTCAGGCCTGCACAGAGACATGGAGCTACTAGCACAAGCTAAAGCTTTATGGCCATCCACCATAATGGATAAAATCAGGTGTTAATTTTGAAAAGAGAATCTATGATGACCACTGTAGCACTACTTTAACTTCTCCATGCAGTAACTTTTGTACCTAACTCCAAAACAGGTTTTGGCAATGTGAAAGTTTCCAAATTCGTGATTTCAACAGCTTGCTGAAAAAACCTGAAAATAACCCAACTATGTCATTCTGGAGCAAAAACCTCAGATTATTCTATTCCAGATGATATTTTGCTACTGGACTTATTTTGGCCATTTCATTTAAAATCTTTTTAAATGCTTCAAAAGAGCAGTCAATAAAACTCGTAAACCAAAAAAAAAAAAAAAAGAAATCATGTCAGATCAAAAGTCAATTCAAATGGAAAGAATTAGGTTTTGAAGTTGAAAACTTCTGAAAAAAATCAGACTGATTTTGTTCAGATCATCCTGAAGTTATACCTCATCCTCTCACCCTTCTGGGTTGGTCATTTGTACAGCTTGGTTTAATGACAGAAAGAACACGGCTGAATTTCTAAACATCAGCAGAGAGTTCATCTTTGTCTACCAAATAAATTCTTCTTGCAAAACTACCAAGACACCGTAATATGAAATAGTCCCTAAGGCATTTTCATTGTGATGTGTACAAATTCAGTTGCACTTTAATGTAAGAGAACACAAAAATAAAACCAAAATAAGGCAACTTAAAAAAGACAGAGACCTGTTCTGATTATGCACAGTTTTCATAGTTGCAACTACGGATCTTTTTTGAAGAGAATTGTATTGTAGTGCACAAGGTTCTGTCATTGGCTCTATCTGGTGGGAAAGAGGACAGCTACCCCCCATAACTGTGCAAGGCTTGGCTATTTTGACTTAGAAAGCTAGTGAAAGTATCAGTCACAGACATTTAACAGAGCAGTTGCTTTTCTGGCCACTCCTTGGAGACAAAGAGGCGAATGGACCATAACTCTGCAAATGCAAGCATCACAACATTACCCTAGATTTCGATCTCATGAAAGGAAATCCCACGCTGCACTTGAGGAAATCTGACTCCAGCAACTCACAGGCAATGCCCAGCTCCTCCTGCACGAAAATAAAAAAGACCATGAGATGATAGATTTGGGGAAAAAGAGGATTACTAAGAAATGCCATTGTGATAATGTATTGTAGAAAATGAAACATTTCCCACCATAGCACTGTTATTCCCAGAAAACTAATACTCATTGAATAAGGGGAAAAGCAGTGCTGTGATTCCTTACTCCACCTTAGCTGGACGAGCACCAAGAAGACAACCATCAGAACATTGCTCTGAGAGACAGACCGTAGGGAAATACTGTGTAACTAAACACATTAGGGTCAGGGGTTCAGCCCAAGATCCTGGATAACCAGATAGCCAGCTGTTATCTCTGTTTATCAAAAGACAGCTTTTAGAATACAGTTCACCAAGGTAGTTTTTCCAGGTACCAACATCATAAAGAGAGAACTGTGTTAGGCAACAGTGACCGAACCATGACAAACACAGATGCTGGAGAAAACATTAATCTGGTCCTGGTGTCAGTTGCTGTGCTGATCTCTTCCTGTGGTCCATGGGATAAGCCACATTGGTATGGATACCAACTTCTTTTAGTGATAAAATGATGGCATAGATAAAGTAGAGGGATGAGCCTCTCCTCATGCTAAGCATTGACAGACTATGAACACTGTCAATAATACAAATGAAAAAGGTTAGAGCAGCTCTATCCTGCTTGAATGATGGCTCCACCACAACAGAAATACTTCTGTTGAATGAAGACTGTTTCACTGGTCCATAAAGTGTCTGGCTCCAGGCTAGCACGTTCTCATCTCCAGGTTATCTGGGAACAGTTTTTATGCTCTGCCACTGTGGAGGAGTTCATCTCACTAAACTTTAGGAGTGGGATTTGGCTCCAGAAACTGATATGCATTTTTAGGTGCCTACACAGCAAGTGATTGCTATGTGATTTGGGCATCATTGCTCCCATCGTAGTCAATGGATGTAGAAAACAGTTCAGCAAAACCAAATGTAGATGCTTAGTTTAGACTGGGCTGTATACCTCTTTAAGCCCTACACTGAAGCCATGGAATTGATGTCATACAGCTACAATATAAATGGATAGATTCAGACAACTGAATCTAGAAATTTATTCTAGACATGTAGCTGAGAATCTCTTATTTAAGGTCATACAATTTATTTGACCTATTTTTAGTATCTTCAGCAGTCTGCAAAGCTCAGGCTCTGTCTTATTTTGCACATTTCCCAAATCACTTCAAATATGAGCTCTGACTTAAATATGCATTTAAAAGTTACATGGGTACCATACTCAGCTGGAACAATCCCATGTGGAAGTAGCTTCCTGAACCCCAGACTTGGGTTATAGGTATCCCTAGGAAATGCCTCTGAGCCTTTCATGTGCTAACACAAGCACTTAGTGCTCTACAGATGCTACTATTATCCCAGTTAGGAGTCTGACAGCATTCAGACTCTTGATCTTTTAACTGCTTCCTGTGATATCTGAAAGACAAGGTCTTCTTTATCTTCAAAATCATGATACAAATCAGGGCCTACATTTATAGAGAATTATAAACCTAATGTTACCTTTCTTATCTGACTCAGACAGCATTTCACTGGTTTCATATGAAAATAACGCAAGGAGAAAATCAATGCATGCTTGAAGATGCTGATGGTGTTGATATTACTCCAGTACTACTCCAATACCAGAGCAATGGTCTCCACATTCAGCTTATTTATGGATTTGTTTCCTTGCAATCTTCAGTAGGCTTCTACTTCCAGAAATGCAAAAGATGGCATTGCCCAGCAAATCAAATATCTAGCTTCAGTCACATAAAGCTGCTGTCCCCATACACCGCGTCAGAGTTTTGTCTCCATTTAACATAAGGCAGCAGAGTTTCATGGATGAAGCATCCCCTTCACTTTTCCTCTCGGCAGTCTGTGAGGGTCTCCTGTTCTATGCAAGTGACCAAATGAACACAAACTCTTGGCAGCTGCGTAACCAAACAGAAAACTTCACAGCTGTTTCCTCTGGGAACATTCTTGGTTCTGTGTTGTTCAAATGTCCCTTGTTGTCTAACTGTGGCAACCTATGAACTTTCTTTCACCAACTCCCAGACTCTGTTCATTCAAGTGGGGTTTTCTATTTACATAGCTGTCTGGTGGTGACAGTGACCAGACAGACCCAAGATGCTGCCTCCTCTCCTCAAGGACATATCCCTTCAAGATGTTAAAAAACTGGACAACAGAAAGAACTCTCATCTTGGTAACGGAAGAAGTGCAGTATTTCATCATTTTGCACACTGGTGGCTGCCTGCACCCTGACAGCAGGCACACAGATGTTTTATAATGGCCTGTTAAGGAAACAGCTGATAGTGTTGCATGGTTTTCCTGTTGTTGCTTACAACAGCTTAATGGATGCAGTAAGACTGACTTGAACAACCTTCTGGCTTCATTAGCATACCATCCACTTTAATGATTAACATTAATACAACGTTACTGAAGTTGGGCATTAGAAAAACGTTCTTCACTGAGAGGGTTGTCGGGCTACTGGAACAAGCTCCCCAGGGATCATAGCCCCAAACCTTGTCACTTTGTCAAGAGCTCAAGGACCATCTCTGTGCTACTCTTAAGTCATATGATTTAACTTTAGGTAGTCCTGCAAGGAGCAGGGAGTTGGATTCAGTGATCCTTATGGATCCCTTCCAATATGAGATATTCTATGATTCCGTTATGCTGTCAAATTGTTCTGTGCTAAAAACCAGCAAACATAAGTCTGCCTGCCCCGCTCTGCTTCAACCTTCTGCACATCCCTAAATTACAGAGATTACCCAGAAATCTTTTTCCATGGACTCTTTGCCTTTCTCTGTGATTAGATGGAGAAGCTCTGCTGATGAGTAAGCATTTTGTTTCTCCTTCACTGCTCACTATCTGGCTTCAGGCTTTATTTGCAGTACACTGCTTTGGAGAGATTGGAAATTGATTCTTCATGGGGTTTCCTACGGTGTTCAGCTCTGTAACATGTGGGCACTCCATAAGCACTAAATAAATTCAGTTTTCACACTATTCCATTAGGCTGAAGGGTTGGTGATGTCATATCTGATAAACAGAGAATGGAAACAGCGCAACTCAGAAATTCTGGATGCCACTTCTCACCGATGTTGGCTAATGCTTTCAATGTGCAATGCTTCTCTACGATGAGTTGAGAACACAGCTTACTGCATGAGTTTCCATACCAGTTTCTAGTTTACTCTGAAACATAGCCAATGGGGTTTGAAGTTTCCCTTCCAACAAGACAGCACAAAGTTTATCTGGAAAACTCTGGGAATGTTTTTTCTGATGCATTTCACAGCATTTCATATTCTTAAGAGAGTCAATCAGATAAATAGCCAGCTAATTAGCCAAATAGCCATGCTGTTACTGTACAGCAAATGCAGACCTGGGTATGAGAAACACGAAGCTTAAGCTGGCTCACAGGCTGCTTCTCAAAGTCCTTTATCGCAGAAAGAAAAGTTCCTGATAACTGTAACATGAGCAGCAGAACAGTCAAGTTCTGTCTCCACTATATGGGGCACATGGGGAAACAGCAACTCAGCCTAAATTTTGCAGCATAATGCTGTCAAACATTATGGACAGAAGTGTTTTGATGTGTAAATATTATGTGTGGTTTCTACTAAGTACTGCAGGAAGCTGATAATGATCTTATTAATACAGTGCCTCTAAGCAGCAACCTGGGGATGTTGCTGTTTGATAAATCTAAGGCTTGAGAGAGGAAAAAATTCACCACTGCTCATGTTCTCATCTCTCTGCTGTTTCAGATATTCACCTAGTGTACCCTGCGGTCTGTAATGGGGGTCACCAGCTCTTTTCTTCATGACAAGTAAACAAGACAGATCAAGCTGAATATTTAAAAGAGTGCATGCAGCTTGGTACAGAAAGCATTTCAACAAGAGTAAAGCATTTTAACCACACAGATGGGATGCTGGAAAGACAGCTGCCATTTGTCCCCTCTCCTCCTGTAGTAAATATTTTTAGAAGATTTCTTAAATATTGTTTACTTTGACCTCAAAGGGTCCTTTTCAACTTGGTTAACTGCCAAACCTAAGACTTAAGAAGAAGGGAAGGAGAATGCCTTAAGAAAACAGTAAGAGAGGACTGCTGGTGGAAGAAAGGTTGCCTGGCTCTGCCTAAAAACGCAGTCACAGGTCAGAGACTGCCTCTGGGAAGAGTCTTCATGCTGATGTACAAGCACAACATGTTGCTCCTCATTGAGCTCCCTCTCCCGCAATGCAGATAATCAAAACTGGACTCAATACATTAAATGGCATACCCCCGAAAAAGATACTGAAACTTCCTCAGCCTCACCTTGACTAACCATTTTCAAAACAGATCACATATGGGGATTTCCCCAAGGGGGTCTTGCACAGCTTGTATGTGATGACTTATTGATCAGCCAATGCACTCTGACCCTTCCCTGCCTCACATCCAACCCAAACCCTCCAACCTGCCTGAGCCTGATCTGGCAGTTCATATATTCAATTTTTACTTTTTTCCACCCTCAGGGAAAGACTTCCCTAAAGGCAGAACAACTCTTCCGAACTGATGCTGGCCTCAACCCAGAGTCATCAGCGTGTTTCCTCAGCTTGCTCCCACCCCCATCCCCACCCATAACCGGTTTCAAGCTCCTTGCCTCAAGCATCTCCTTTTGTAATCTCCCCTAGCCCGTTAATTCCCCTTCAACAATCTCCAGTCCTAGCCTTTTATCTGATAACTCTTCTACCCTTTTAGTATAGGTCACTTGTGTTATTTTGCACTCACCAGTGCTCTCACAGAGAAAGTGTGAATTCAACCATCCTAACACTCATTTATGACCTGCTAGCTCTCTGCTTTTCTAAGCACACAAGCTCCTAGTAGGTGCTACATCTGAAATGTCAACAGGGAAATGCAACAGAGTGATCCTAAACTTGCAAAAGGATGTGTCAGATACAGCTTTAATTGATTTAATAAAATCATACCAAGATAGTAAATAGAAAGTGATATTAATTTCTGAACTTAG